ACTGGGGCAAGGCCTAGATGCTGAAGAGCCTGCACCTGTGGCAGTGCATCAGGAGCTGGCCCCAGGTGAAGCCCTTCTGGCCCCAGAGGGGCTTGACGACTCAGTGGCCACAGGTGAGCCTCCTCCAGGGCCCAGTAACCCTTCGGCCTCTCCTGATCTGCAGAGGCTTAGGGCAGAGAGGCGAAGGGAACTGGTTGCCCCCAGGAGGAGTGCTCGCCTTAAGGCCAGAGGAGGCGGGGCTTCTGGGGGCCGGGACCGCCCCTGGCCTTAGAAGAGGATAAAAGCCCAGTCAGCCCGGCCCCAGGTTGCGGGAGCAACGTCGTTGTTGGCTTCGGACCTTCCTGTGTTCCTGATCCCTGCTCGGCTTCCTGTTCCTGACTATCCGGTACTCCTGTTCCCTGCTCGGCTTCCTGTTCCTGACTATCCGGTACTCCTGTTCCCTGCTCGGCTTCCTGTTCCTGACTATCCGGTACTCCTGTTCCCTGCTCGGCCTCCGACCATCGGTTTCCAGCCGTTCAGCGTTCCTGTTCCCCGCCCGGCTCTCCGCCTCGGACCTCGCCCCTCTTCGTGTGGACTCTGCTACACCCACGGTACCTTACCCCCGGGACCAGCACACTAAATATATCTAATTCCCTCAACCATTCCCCATAAGGCTTGGTTTCCAGACCCCTGATCATCTTGGTTGCCCTCCTCCACACACATTCCAGCTTGTCCATATCCTTCTTAAATTGTGATGCCCAGAACTGGACACAGGACTCCAGGTGTGGTTTGACCAAGGCAGTACAGAGTGGTACTATCACTTCCCATGATCTGGACACTAAACTTTTGTTGATGAGCCTAGAATTGCATTAACGTTTTTGCTGCTGCATCACACTGTTGACTCATGTTAAGCTTCTGGTCTGCTAAGACCCCTAGATCCTTTTCTTGTGTGCTACAGGGAAGCCAGATGTTAGGGGCTGGACTGGATCAAAAGAGTAGGGAATGCAATCGCAGGAAGATCAGATCCTAACAGAAGAGGAGGGGGAATATTCACCTTCCCTGAGCCCAGCGTCTCCAGAAGCAAGGAGGCAGGCAGACACAGGCTGCACAATTGAGAGAGGAGCTCCCCAGCTTTGAGATAGTAACTAAGCAATCAGAAGGGAGGGAGCAGCTGGGTGATACATCAATCAAGAGTGGGGGGGAACTCCCTCCCCCCGAACTCAGAAGTATGAGCGTGTCAGAGAACAAAGGAAATGCAGCGGGGGAGGGACATCCCACTGGCGCACTTCTTGCTGCGGAAGTAGAGGGGAGGAGTCAGAATGAGCAACTGCTGTGCTTGCAGAAAGTTGTGTCTGCGTCCGCAACATGATACTGTAATAGAAAAATTATAAATCTACCAAATGCTCCTTAATTCTTATCAGAGAGCTACCAGAAGGGAGAGGGGAACTCCTGTACTTGACAACAGGTGTCCCCCATCTTATATTTGTGCAGCTGGTTCTTCCTGCCTAAGTGTATAACCTAACATTTCCCCCTCTTGAAATTCATTTTGTTAGTTTGGGCCCAGTTCTCCAGTCTTCTAAGGTCATCTTGAATCCTGATTCTGTCTTCTGTGGCATTAGCTACCCTTCTCAGTTTGGTGTCATCTGCAAATTTGATCAGCCTCCCCTCAATTCCTTCATCCAAGTCATTTATAAAGATGATGAAGAACAATGGGCCCAGGACAGAGCCCTGTGGCACCTCACTTGACACTTTCTTCCAGGATGATGAGGAACCACTAATGAGCACCCTTTGGGTGCCCACAGACCAACTGTTTATCTGTTCTAGGACCTTTCTTGGTACCAATGCAAAGCTCACCTGTCAAGAGCACCTATATCTCTTTCCAGATCTCTTTTCCTCTTACATACTGAGCAAATATCATTATCAATCATTCAATGAACCTATTTTTAGTAACATGTGAAAGGCACAAATCCTGTTGCTTTAAAAATGGCAAGTTTGCATATCCAGTGTCAACAACCCTCTTTAGCTGTCATGAGATATTAAAATAATAATAATCTCAACAAGTACTTTTAAAGTACAGCTCATTTGCAATCTAATACTGTGTAAAGGATTTTGTACTAATTATCCTGAAACCTTTTCTAGAAACCCCAATGTGACAGAGGTGAAAAGTTATCTGGCTTCCATTTGTTGAACTGTTCTGATCCCACAGGTTCTGGAAGTAATAACCACCTAGAAAACCCTCTACCAGACAACTGTTGGGATGATGGGCTGGGGAAGGAGAAAGCTTTGCAGCAATCACTGTCACAAAGTAAATATGATAATGCTTTTGTACTTCTATTTGGTCATATTCACTGTGAGACTTCTGCCATCTGCACTTAGAAATCTCCCTGCCTGATTAATTACCACTATCTCCTGAGTAAACTAAGAAACCAATCAAGCTCTATTGTGCAGGAGAGGATATGTCTATGGTTCTTTCCATCTCACAATTCCAAATTGAGACCAGGGCCCTGAAAGGAATGCCAGCTATGCCAAACATAAAACCATCAAGAGCTACTCCGGGAGAGGGGAGGCAGTAAGGGCCCTCGGCTGGCCTGGTTGGGACTAACTGCTCTTCTCTGGTGCCATCATGTGGCCATTGAAGGCCACCTCCCCATCTCTATGCAAATTTTGAAGAAAAGTGGCATAGAGTTTACAGGGATCCCAAGGGTTAGGGTTGCCATATTTCAAAAAGTAAAGACCAGGACACCCCAAATGTTGTTGAGGTTTTTTTAAAAAAACACACACCAAAAAGTCACCTGATTTTTCAATTGACTTGCATAAGATCCAGGACAAAGCACTACTTTTTGGAAATTCCTCCTAGACATCAATTCCGGCATTGACATCCCGGGAATGTCCAGGAAATGGCACCCCAATCTCAGCCAGATCATACATGGCAGGTGCCCACCCAACCTCAAATAAAGGAGAGTCCACACCCTCCTGAGAGAGGCTGTTTCACTTTTGAAAGTTATCTCTGCTGTTTTGGCCATAATCTTCTTTCTTGTATCCTGAAGCCATTGGTTTGGGTCCTAGCCTCCAGAACAGGAGAAAACAAGCTTGCGCCATCTTCCATGTGATAGCCCTTTAGATATTTGAAGTTGGCTCTCATATCTCCTCTCAGTCTCCTCTGTTCCAAGTTAAACAAACCTGGTTCCCTCAACTGTTCCTCGTAAGGTTTGGTTGCCCTCCTCTGCACATGTTCGAAATCCTTCTGGGCCAAAACCAGACCTAAACCCCAATTGAAATGGATCTAGAAAATCAGTTTCCTCCAAGAGCACCTGGATCTGTTCCATAACCTCAAGAACCTTGCCCAAGTAGGGGAGATTAGCAACTGGCCAGTAGTTATTTAAATTTTCTGAGTCCAGGGAGCGTTTCTTAAGGAGTGGTTTTACCACCGCCTCCTTCAAGCAGGCAGAAACCATCCAGTCTCGTAGGGAGGCATTGATCACCCAGCCAGCTGCCCCCTCCCTGCTAGCTTTTCTCATGAGGGGCAAGGGTCCAGAGCGGAAGTGGTTGTCCTGACTGATCCAAGGACCTTGTTCACATCCTCCAGCCTTACCAGCTGAAACTCACCCAACACAACATCCAGTAGGACCACAACCACCACAAAGCAGGCCATGTATCCCCAACTCAGCCAGCTATTCCAGAATGATACAATTTTTGATGGTATCAAACGCCACTGAGAAGTTGAGAATTAACAAGGATATATTTCCCCTGCATCTGTCATGGCCAAGGTCATCATCATACAGGGCAACCAAAGCAGTCCAACACCACAGGACCAGACTGTGCTCTGCACACCCCTTGAGATTCATCTGCTGTAACAGTGGAAGCAAGTTCTCGATGGAGGCAAGTGGTTTTATCCTCAGAATGTTTTGCAAACAATCACATGGAGCTGCTGTCTGTTCTGCCACTTCCTTTAGGCCAGGCGGTAACAGGTCCTGCACCACCCAGAAAGCTCTGCTGGCCGACACAATGAGGCTGCAATGGAGGCAGGAAAGTAGTTTTTCTTTGCATCCTTCACTGCCACTAGGTAGGCTCGATGATGTACAAAGCAATATGTGTGTGTCTTCTTAGGTTTGAAGTTTGGCTAAAGGGTGGAGTATAACTGCCTTAAATAAATTAAATATGCATTGTGTTCAGCGACACTTACTTCCAGGTGTGCTTTTAGTCTGCAACCTTATTGGAAAGGACCCACAAAATCCGCATTTCCCCCAATTGTTTTCTCCCGTGGCAGCTCATATCCAAATGGGGTTGTATTCAAATATCACATGGCATTCACCTGCCCTGCCAGCTCCACAATGACTTTGGCTTGTGCAAAGGGGCTCCCCCCACTGTCCCCCTGCACCCCTCAACTGGCTCTTTGGGGGTCAAGACAACCTCTCTTAACAGTGCACAGGGGAAGGGAATATTTCTGTTTGGAAAGCTGCAATGTTTGCACAGATGAAATATGCTTGCAGACCCAGATTTTCTGTCCACACCCATGAAATGCTATTTCCTGCTATGCCCACCATGGTGCTGGTCTCCTTTTCAGATTTCCAGAGGACAGAAAAACTCCAGATTTATTTATTTATTTTGGGTGGTGGTGGGGAGATAAAGTGTCGGGCAGTAGTAGCTGAAGGAAAACCTCAACTGGATGAGGGGGAATTAATGAAGGTGCAAGAGGTTTGCGATCCACTTGAAGCTGAGGTGTGTGTATAGTCCCTAAGACTCTAGAACTCAGTGGGCTTTACTTTAATGGAAACATGCTTAGCATGGCCCTGCGCATTATTTCATTCTGGCATCCCAAGAACCAACCTGGCAAAACTACTGGGTCTGCAATTCCTAAGGCTGAAAACTCTAATCTCCAAAGGCATCACAATCCAGTCAGGTGGTCTTGAATAGGGCTGATCAACTGGTGGCGAGAGTAGGGCCTGAACAGATGCTCAGAAAATATGACAAAAGCTATGATTTGTGGTTTTTTCCACTGTTAGTAATCACATGAGCCAGTAACTGAATAATGGTACTTTATTCTTAGCAATGAATAACTATGGGACACAAATCTTTTCAAAACCTCAGTCTCTGACAAGGTATGTTTTTATTTTTCATACTAATCCAGCATGAAAACATTGATTACAAACCTAATGATAAATCACAAAGAAAAAGTTTAGAAAATACATTTTAAAGGAAAACTACATGATTTGCTTGCATCCTGTAAGTATATGTCAGAATTTCAGAGTTAGTAACATTTGCTTGAGAATACATCTGGATTATTGCTCTTCTTGAATCTGGAGAAGACCACCAGAACAGCTATGATGAAGCAAACAGGCGTTTAGGTGCAATTGTTTCTCTTCAGGCTGATGTGGTTTGTCCAAGGAACAGAATACACCTGAAAGTTGCAAGTCACATGCTACAAGCAGGGAATGAGAGAGAGAAAACCCATTAATATGACTAATATGAACTGCATCCATAGTAAACCAGAACATTATTAATTAAAAGTTAATGTTAATGTTATAAGCATCCTAGTGATAGTTCCTTCCCCAACCCCCCAATAAACATCCTTATGTTGGACATGGCCCAGCTAAAGTGAAGCGCTTCTGTTTGTGTGCTGAGCAGTAAATTTTTACTGGGTTTAATGAGACTAACCTCCAAGTAAGGGTGTGCAGGATTGCACCTGTAGTCCCTTAAAGGGAATTAAATGTTAACTTGGTCTGTGTTGTGCTCCTTGTTTTACAGCAGCCTAAGAAGACATGGCATAGATTGCATGGGCACAAAACACTGGAAAACATTTACTGTAATAAAGGGAGATTTCATAGGGAACCTTTTCCAGTGCATTGCATCCTGTGTCAGCACAGACGTTATACATGTGCCATCTTTAGTCCCTCTGTGAAACATGAGATGACCCCCTGAGGTTTCCCACCAGAGAAGAGCACCTGACTGAAGATTTTTCTTTCCCACAACCTTGATCCCAAGTACATTTTCCCAGTCAGAAGAAATGCCAATCATTCCTCCATCTGAGGAAAAGTAGAAAGGCTCCTGTGGCGGCCCTGGGAATGAAGCCTGCAGCTGCATCACCCCATCCTAAGCTCCCTTGCTTGTCATGCCAGAGTGTGACAGAGACTGAAAACTGCCTTTCAGGGAGACTTCCGTTCAGCTCATGGAGATCCCGTTGCTCTACCCCAATGGGAGAATTAAGCACACGATACAGTCCTGACATTAATGGGGCCAAAGCGCTGAACTTCAGCTGAATCAGGCTACATATACTTGTACTAGGTTTGGTACCATTTTAAGCTTTACTACATGAAAAATGTTAACATGTGCAATACTACGCAATTATGTTACAGCCCAAAGCTGCTGACTGTTATTACAAGAAACATACCGTAAGTGTATTTACTTGGAAGGAAATCCCCCCTGAAATCATGGAGGAGATAAGAATAGCTAACTGGAATAAGACAAGTGCTTCTTTTCACATTTTTTTGGGGGGGTGAGAACTTGTATAACGAAGTTTAGATAGTTGCACAGACAGGCACTGCTGATGCTGCAAAACTACTGAAAAGGGAACTTGAACTAGTTAAGCACAGAAGGCTTTTTGTGCTGTGCTCAGCTAGAAGTCTTCCAAGTCACCAAGCAACTGTTTTGAGTTCTTTGACTAGGCAACAGCACCCCCAAACAGAAAACACAAGGGCTTCTTTGTGTGTTGAACAGAGGCTGCTGGAAAACCCAGGCGTTTTACTCTTTTTGGCTCCTGAGTCATTTGTTGGTGGTTGCTAAAGATTTTCTTTTTCTTTTTTTTTTTTTGCTTTTCTTTGTAATCAGCCGATTTTGGCAATTCCTTGTGCTCTAGTTGCTATAATGAATGGATGCAAGATGTTTCTTGTGGTGTGAGGACACAAGAAAACCATTCCTCTACTCCACAGACCCCCCCCCTGCACCAAACCAGAGAAAGCAGGCTGCACTTCAGTCCTCATATTTAGGGGAATCCTCTGCACATTTATGGAGGAAGTAAGTAAATGGGTTGCACCGAGGTTCACATATGCAGAGTGAATATGCACAGGACTGGGCTACAAGGACCAGACTCTGAAGTGGTGGAGAAGAGAAACCCACATTCAAATCTTTACTTAGCCAATAAGGCTTATGGGAAGCCTTAGGCAACTCCTTAACTCTCAAGGCCAAACTAAGTGTGTCTTTGCATCCATTGTGCAGATGTTTCAAACTGGAGTGAGGCTAATCATTAATGGGATTAGAGCCTTTCTCCCCCATCCAGCTGCCATCCTGATAAAATGCTTTCCAAAGCCAATATTTGCTTTGTAGAAAAATACCTCCATTGCTGCTTCAGAAGAATATTCTTAGTATCTGTCTGCTCTGATGGCATTATCAACCCCACCCACTTACATTGTTTTTAAAAAAGCAGCACACAAAATGCAAAGACACATTTAAGATCATGTCTCAACTGGCCCTCACAGGGCTACTGGGGATAAAACAGGCTAATCTCTTTATCAGCCCCACAGATTTTTTTGGAGCTCTTGCACAGCTCCAGTTCATTATAGGGTGGCTTCAGCAAGAGAATTTCCTGGTACATTATTCATGCCCATAACTTAGAACTGAACATCTAAGGAAAACATTATCAGAACTGATTCCCAAAACAACATAATCCAGAGTAGAACTAGGAGAAAGAAGGCAACGTTTTACATGTTTACTGAGTTTTACAGGGTAAAGGTAGACCCTGTAAAAACAGTCAAGCAGACTGTTTAGAGAGAAAATGTATTTCCCCCAAAAAACTAGGTTCCTCAGATTTAGTTCCCACCACAAGGATATCCCCAAGCACTGGCTTTCTTTCCTTCTTCTTTTTAAGCAACCATTCACTTCCAAGTTCAAAATAGTGCTGCACAAGTACCTTCATAATGAGGGACATTTTTACTGTCAATTATTATATTTAGCACTGTAAAGCAATGTCCTTGTTTCTGCTACATACCTTTGCCAGCTCTGGTGCTTCATGGAATGCACAGTTCTCAACATCGGCTACTGACTTCGGACAAGTTGTTCGCCCAACTTTAACATCGAAAAAATAAAGGACTCCAGAGACAATCTGTAAGATGTGGGAAATGGCTCCTTTACTAGAGAGAATATTCAATATACTGCACAAGACCCGATGCCTTTTCTAATCACAAAAGACAGACTGGAATTCATCTGTGAACAGTGTCCAAGGCTGCCGCCCTGGAAAACAGTGAGAGGGACACAGGAGCCGCCTGTGCTAAGCCTTTCCTTTTAGAGAGAAGCTATAAATCTGCCTGCGTCATAGACATTTGGGTTATTTCTTTATGTCAAAGAGCTGACAACTGGCATTACTATAACATCAAGGAACAAGAAGAGAGCCGGTGTTGACATCAGAAGGTCCAAATCCAGGCCTTTATGGAGCTGCATGGCTTCAGGCTCACCCCTGCTTTGCAAGGGGAAAAGATAGGAGGTTATAGTGACCCCCCACCCCTACACACAGACCATATCCAACAGAGGCACCAATAGCAGACCCTTAACCTTAAGGCGACACATCTCCATGACGGGAGGGCAAAGCATGCTGAATGCATCCCTTAACGTTAATAGCCTTTGGTTAACGCAAGTCACTGTCATAAGATGTGATGACAGCTATTGGCATAGACAGCTTTAAGAAAAACAGGACAAATTTTGGAGGGATTGGTCTGCATTAAGACTACCCGGGAGAAAATTTTACTCTATAAACTACATAAAAAGTCAAGCTTCTTAGAGATTTGGAGTGCATTTGGGGATTGATTTAATGTCTTTTTAATGCCCTACACAAGGATGGGAGAACTGAGCCAACTCAATAGTTCAATCATTAGGTTTCTTGTTGATTCTGGAGTTCACATGATTCTGCACATTTTATGCTGAAAGTAGCAAGAAAAGCCAGGTTCTGGTGTGCTGTCTGCAAGGAATGGCACCCCTTGAATCTGAGGGAAATTGCAGTCAAACATACGGTAACTATGCATGGGTTCTAGTTAGTGCATGAAGGAGTTAAGACCGCAGGGTTAAGATTCATAGACTCAGCTAGGTCATACTCTCTTACCTCCATGAGTAAGTGACGCTGCTTCTTCTACCTTCTCTCTCTCCCTCCAAGACATGTAACCCACCAGGGAGGATGTGGCTAAGGTTGCTCCCAAGATTGGAGCATGTGTCTGGAAGTATATTCTGATTTTCCTACCCAAGAGTATTCTGCCTATGTTCTTCTTGCAGCTGCATGGAACAATGAAGGTATCAGACCTTTGAAGTCTGACCTTGTAAGTAAAGCATTTTAAACTTGCTTAGCTTTATGTGGTCTGTTCCTTGCAACAGGAGTAGAAAGAGGGGAGAATTGTAAAAGGGATAAGAAGGGTCTAACAACCTATATTCTAGCCCTGCATTTTGAATCTAGGCACCCAACTGATTATTTTGTTGTTCACCCACACATGTGGGTCCACAGGGATTCAAATTTTTAATTCCCCCACAGAATCATGCCAGCCTAGGTAGCTATACTGCATGTTTGCATAGCTGACTTGAACCCTAGAAAATCAGGATACCACCACTTGTTTCAAGATGCAAACAAATTAGAGAAAGCTACTTCCTTAAATTTCAGGAAATGTTTGCATCTTTTAGTTAAAAAGAGAAGAGGAAGTCAAGCTTGGGGGAAGAGAAACTGCTGGCTGAGCCCTAAAGATTATAGTACTGACCAGCCAGACACGAATAGCAATAGGAAATGTAAAGAGGCCTGGCTCTGCAGGATACTGATGTCTCAGGCCAACATCTTCCTTTTATTTTGACAGTGCTGTCATTTGTCATGGCAACCAACTAGCTGTCAATCAAACTGCATCAAAGGACACAGCTGTGAGGAAGTGGCAGAACTTCCACTGAATGCCAGTTGCTGGGAATTGCCAGTGAGGAGATGCTCTTTCCCCCTGGCCCTGCTTGGGGGCTTCTCTTTGGGGCATCTGGTTGGCCACTGTGAGAACAGGATGCCGGACTAGATGGGCCATGGGCCTGATCCAGCAGCAGGCTCTTCTTAGGTTCTTAACTCAGTACAGCTCTGGTTAACAGAATGCATCTGGACACACGTTACACGTCTGCTACCAGTGTAAAGATGGAAGAAAGACCAATTCATGTGATCTTTTGCAGCACCAATTTGCTGAAATTTTCAAGGGCACTTGGGACAGCCCAGATTCCTGCTGAATTACACCCAAAAACTGTAAGCAGCATATCTGAATTAAGCAATATTGGAGGAAAGGAATCAGGGAAGCGCTCTTTGTCCTGTGGGATAAATATCAGCCTCACATAGCCAAATGCTTAGTTCTAGGGAGTGCATGAAGGGGTTCAGACCTAGAGTAGGCAGTCCTGCCAAGCCCCCTCACCTTGGGAGGAAGGGTTACCAAAGCCTTTATTTATTATCCTTCAGCATATGAATCCAACCCAAAAGGACATCAGGGCTGAAACTAAGTTAAACTGCCTGCCTTTTTTCTGCTGCACTGAAAAGCACATAAAACTGAACTTTGAAGAGTTTGAAAACAAAACATTTTTAACTTACTAAATGTGTGGGCTTTTTCTGTGCCAAGGGGGAAGTAAGGGGAGGTCTAACCGCCAATATTTCCATGCTTTATTTTGCTTCATGTTTTTTGATTTTAAAAGTCTGCTGGGGCTTGCTCAGCAAGAATATAGTTGCCCCCAAACCTGGATCTAGGCAACTAGGAAATTTGACCTTTATTCTTTTAAATCAATTACACACAAACATTAAAAACCAACATGTCCTAGTTAGGTCAAGGCTGTTCCAGTCACCAGCAAGCAGCCATAGTCTTGGCTGCTGACTATGTAAGCAGGAGAGACTGACCTCCCCCCTGGAATCCTGCAGTGGGGCGGGGGGGGGCGGGAGTCAAGCTGGAGCTGAGCCCCACGGCCTGGAAGAAGCCAGCTGCTCTGCTCTGCTCACAGGTCAGGCTGCCAACTGCTCGCCTTGGTCCTGCACTTGTGCCTTTAATGGCAGCCTGGAGCGCACAAGTTGAGTCCCATGTGCACTTGTAAACATTCAGAATATTTATGTGCATCGAGCTGCGGCTAAAAACACAGGAGCGAAAGGAGGGGAGGCGGGAGAGAGGAGAGAGGAGCCCTGCCGCCGCCTGGCAGGCCGCCTGCTTCCGTCTCAGCTCGACCTCTTAAGGGGCAGGCAGCTTCCCAGGCGGCGGCGGCGATTCTTCCTGGGGGCTCCTGGTCCTAGGAAAAGAGAAAACTCTCCTCCCTGGGCAAAGAAGCCAAGGCCTTGCCTTGAGAGCGGGGATCCGTCCTTCGCCGCCTGACCAGGGAAGATCAGACAGCCAAAAAGATACTGCGCGTGAAAGAAAAGACATTCGGGTTCCCATCTGCCGTCAAGGCTGCCAAGCCCCGCGCCGGAGAAAGCAGCTCCGCGCAACGGGCTGCTTCTTGGGGGAGTCTCCCGGCCCCCCCCCCGGACTTGGGCTGGACTGCAGCCGGCCCCGCTCCGGGGTCATCCAGTCCGACCCGCCCGCCCGCCCGCCCAGCACACTCACTTGCTTCCTGACCCGGACCACCTCGGCCACGCGGCTGGCGTACTTGTCGTTGCTGGCCCGGTTGTACTCGTTCATGGCGAACTGCAGCGCCCGCCGCGCGCCCTCCTCCTCCACCGACGCCTCCTGCACGCCCCCCAGCAGGGGCGGCCGCTGCTGGCCCCCGTGCCCGGCGCGGCGCAGAGCAGGAGGGCGCTGCACGCCACCAGCCACCGCCACCAAGCCATCGCTCGCTGGTCTCCTCCGCACGTCCGAAGCTGGGCGACGCTGCTGCGCGGAAACTGGCGCCTCGGGGGCGCGCGCGGCGCTTTTCCTGGTCCCGCCGCCCCGCCCCTCGAGCGGAAAGCCAAGCCTGGGAGGCGCCGCTCTCCTGCTTCGGGCAGCCTCGCGCCCCGGTGGAAAGTGACGCAGACCTGGCAAGCCTCCCCGCAGCCCTCACAGATGATGACCCGACACAGCTGCCCTTGCGCTTCCTTTGCTCGCAGCCTTTCTTCCCTGCCTTTGCTAGGGCTCCCCATTTGCCTCTTCAAGGCCTGGGGAGGAATCCAGCCTTCTTGATAGTTAAAGAATTCATTCCCCCAGGAGGCCGGGATGGCCACCAAGCTAATGCTTGTCACGCATCTGTCTTGTTGTAAATAAAAAACATGCCCCTTTCCCTTATGGGGTATCCAAAAGCCCATATAGAGTCCTTACATAGGTTCCCTATTGGTAGGAGAAAATAACAGAGGCCAAGCAGAGAATACTGAGAAGCAAAGCAGCTAGAAAGCCTGATCTTTATTGATCTGTCGCAACAGGGGGCTCCCCTCACTCGCAGGAAAGGAGGAGGACCCACAAAAATGCTGTGCCAGGCCTTATAAAGACTTTTGAAATTCCCATCCTGTGTAGACCACCCCCAGAAACATCATACATACATCACAGAAGGGGTGTAACCTAAGACCACCCCTCAGATACATCACAGAAAAGGTGGTCTTAAAACAGAAATTTCAATATTGTTTTTCTCTTATCCTTGTTTATTTCCTGTCTGGCAGGTTACTTGATTGGATTGCCTGAGGAGCCTGGCCATACTTTTGTAGTGATAAATACTTATTCAAACACCCTTAAGACAGGATTTGTGAAGGAAAAGACAATGGGGAGGCTTTTCCACTTTGACCATGCAGAGAAACATTTGCTCAGTTTAGGAATCAAAATGGTTCCAGGTTGGCCTTCCTGTGGTGATCTATGTATGTGCGGTTATGAACATTGCCATATATCTAAGACCATAAAATTCCTATTACTGTATAGTCTGGAGAGGCAATGGAGTGCGCCTGCCGGGTGAAGTCCAACTGCTGCCTTAGGGGAAGAAGCCTGGGCCGGGGGCCTGGAGGGCCGGGGCTGCCCAGACGACAAGGCCCCCTACTGATCTCACCGATGGGTCCAAAGGAAAGCAGAGCGAGACCTTTGACACCAGCCTGGCTGCAGGAGTTGCCGGACGGAGGTGTGCAATCGTTTTAGGGACTCCGCTCCGGATTGTGTGGGATTTACTCCTCAGCCTTTTATTCTCCCAAAAATATCCCACAAGGCAGCAGAGGTTTAGGATCAGTTTTCCTTCTCCTACATGGGCTGATGAGCCCCTCAGTTCCCCCTGCAGCACAGGCCGAAACCACCTTCTTGACCATTGGACCCACTACTGTCTTATAGTCTTGGACTCCAAGGCCAGTCCAATAAAATTTCCTGCCTGAGGCTCAGAACAAGATGCCATCCCTATTTCACATTTAGTTAAATCTCGCTTCAGCACTGGTAACAGCATACAGCACTCTCCACCACAGCTAAGGGCAATATGGAGTATGTGAAGATTGTCCAAAGTATACATGACGCAAAAATCAGAAGCAAAGTCTGATCCTTTCTTTCATTTGGACTTATCCAATGAGGCAGAGGGACTACCGTATGTGAGACATTTTCAGTACAAGCTGATAGGAATTCCTAAGGCAGAAAACCACAAAATATTTCAGGACTTTAGTTGCAGAGTTTTGGTACTTTTGTCAATATGAAAAGGGAATCTGTGTTGAGTTCAATTAATTATAGGTCTGGTTTTGGAAGGTTGTCCTGAAAAGATCCAAGTAGTTGGTGGGGGGATTTGGAAGGAGGGAGAAGCAGAAAAAATATGCTGAGAATGTGACTGGGAGGAGCAGAAAAAAATAATTTCAATCTACTTTTCATGAAACTGCTTGACGTCTAAGTACATAATGTTCTCTGACTCTTTGTACCCATTTTCTGTTCCAGAAACCCGACAGCTCTAGTTAAAATTCTTCTTTGGCAATCACTCATAGCTGAGTAAGATTGTCTTCCATAAACACGGTTTTAACGACGAGTCCGTAGGTGACTGTGGAGGCCAAGACAGTGGAACCTCGACTTACGTACGACTCTTACATTACGACCTTCAGTAGGTGCTTTGACTTATGAACTTTCCCCTGGATACAAACAGAGGCCTTGCCAGCAGCCCGGAGCTCACCCGGCCGGCTGCGGAGCAGCGCTGAGGCCTCTGCTGCCGGGGAGAGGGCCCCCATCCCACCCCCAAAGCTGTGGAAGAGGTGCCGCCTGCAAGAGACACAGCAGGGCGCACTGCAGCCCCAAACCCCACCAAGGAACTCACCTGAGGAAGTCCAGAGAAGAACCTGGCCTGGCAAGAAAAAAAAGTGACCCTGGCCCAAGTGAATCAGCTCTTTACTGACCCTTGCCCCACCCCCAGCTTGTAGCCAAGCCCACTCACCCTCAGTGCATGTAAAAAAAAAAATTACTTTTTTTCATCTACAATACAGTACTGTCTTATTTATTTTAATAGTACAGTACATTGATTATTGCCTTCATTTTATGGATCCATAGTCTCGTTAGACAGTAAAATCCATGTTAAATTGCTGTTTTAGGGGGTGTTTTTCATTGTCTAAAGCGGATCAATTAACTTTTCCATTACTTTCTATGGAAAAGTGCGCCTCTACTTATGTATGTTTCTAGTTATGACCAGATCTCCAGAATGGATTATGGTTATAAGTAGAGGTTCCACTGTAATGGTTAATACTTCTAAATAAATTACTTATGTCCAGCATAATTGAAATACTTTATTGTCCCTTGTACAACTTGTATACAGTGGTACCTCGGGTTAAGAACTTAATTCATTCTGGAGGTCCGTTCTTAACCTGAAACTGTTCTTAACCTGAAGCACCACTTTAGCTAATGGGGCCTCCTGCTGCCGCCGCACCGCCAGAGCACGATTTCTGTTCTCATCCTGAAGCAAAGTTCTTTTTTTTTTTTTTAGAAATTTTTTATTGCTTTATTTTCCAAGGTCAGAATACATCGTCGATAACACAACAAAAGCTGTTTTACAAAAAGAAAGAAGAAATTAAATAAAAGAAAATTCATTTTTCCAAATCTTTTTTCATCATCAACTGGACTTCCCCACATCCTCCATCCCTGCTTTCTTTACAATAAAAGTAGACAGCAAATTAATACCTTGTTTCATGTGTTTTTGTATTTTCATCTAATTATTTACTCTAGAATTTAAACTTTTCTCGGTCATAACTTAGTTTCAATCATTTCCGAATCTCAATACTGAAGCATGTTTTTCTCAAAACTTAGCAAATTCTCAGCATTCATGTAGCTTATAATGTTTTTGTAAATAGTCCTTAAATTTTTTCCAATCCTCTTCCACTGCCTCTTCTCCCAGGTCTCGGATTCTGCCAGTCATTTCAGCCAGTTCCATGTAGTCCATCAGTTGCGTGTGCCACTCTTCCAGTGTGGGTAGCTCCTGTGCCTTCCAGTATTTAGCTATAAGGATTCTTGCTGCTGTAGTTGCATATAAAAAGAAAGTTCTATCTTTCTTTGGCACTCTCTGGCCTACAATGCCCAGGAGGAAGGCCTCTGGTTTCTTATGAAAGGTACACTTAAGTACCTTTTTCAACTCGTTAGAAATCATTTCCCAAAAAACCTTCACCCTTGGGCATGTCCACCAAAGGTGAAAGAATGTTCCTTCAGCCTCCTTACATTTCCAACATTTATTGTCAGACAGATGATATATCTTTGCAAGTTTGACTGGGGTCATGTACCACCTGTACATCATTTTCATAATGTTTTCCTTTAAGGCACTACATGCCGTAAATTTCATACCGGTGGTCCATAACCTTTCCCAGTCTTCAAACATAATGTTGTACCCAATATCTTGTGCCCATTTTATCATGGCTGATTTAACTGTCTCATCTTGAGTATTCCATTTAAGCAACAAGTTATACATTCTTGAAAGCACTTTCGTCTTAGGTTCAAGTAGTTCTAACTCTAATTTTGATTTTTCCACCTGGAAACCAATTTTTTTGTCCTTTTTAAAAATCTCTAAAATTTGGGCGTAATGAAACCACCTGAAGCAAAGTTCTTAACCTGAGGTACTATTTCTGGGTTAGCGGAGTCTGTAACCTGAAGCGTCTGTAACCTGAAGCATCTGTAACCCGAGGTACCACTGTAGAGTGAGATTACACAAGCACCCCCCACTCAGCTCTCTTAGTCTTAATTCCCCTCGTTTACTGACACACACCCACCAAACCTGAAAGTCAGTTGCCCTGTTGTTATCTTTTCATTCAGTGGCCCAACAGCCCACGGATAGTTGTTCTTTATCCTGTTGGTGCGACTAATCATGCTTCTGTATCTTCTGCCCGAGGGCAGGAAATCAAGAAAGTGCCAGCCAGGGTGTGAATCATCCCTGAGAATTTTCCCGCACTCTCCTGAGGCAACCTTCTTCTGCTATTTCATCCAGCGGATTCACGGGACAGCCCATAATATCTTGTGCTGTATTCACCACCCTCTGTAGGCACTTCCTAACAGTTGATGTCAAACCAGCGTACCACACTGTGATGCAGTATGAAAGGACACTTTCTATTGTGGACCGGTAGAAGATCATCAAATGTTGATTGCCATAATAGAGATGCAATACTAAAAACAAGCCTAGAGGTGGTCCCTATGATCATGTGTTTTCCTATACCTACATAAGCTTAGTTAATATTTGTGCATGTTTCAAAGCTGTCTCATGCAGCCACAAAATTAATAAATCTATGCCCTAACAAGACTGGTCCCAATGAGCTGCCCCAGCACCACATCAAAAGTCATTCATTGCCAATTATTTTCTAATTAAATAGTAGCAAAGGTTGGGGGCAATTTGAATCAAAGAAATGCTGTGTAAGGCTGCTTCTGAGAAGAGGGCCAGAATGTCATGCATGCTTTAGCTGATATTCCTGCATGGCAGGGGGTTGGCCTAGATGACCCTCAAGATCCCTTCCACCACTCTACAATTCTGTGGTTTTAGAGAGGCCTACCTTTGGACGCCAAGGGACGCGGGTGGCGCTGTGGGTAAAAGCCTCAGCGCCTAGGGCTTGCCGATCGAAAGGTTGGCGGTTCGAATCCCCGCGGCAGGGTGCGCT